GTGAAGGTTGTTCAAACGTCAGCGTGTCCACACACAGAGTTGTGTGTTTCCAACTTTTGGGCTTTTATCGATCCGTTTGCTTTTTCCTTCATTAACAAATGGCCAAAGTCACGCAGCAGAGGATCAGCTCGCTGTGGAAGAACGAGAACTGACAACGACCTTACCTCGGGAACAATGTCGATTAGAGAAGGTTTTAGTTTGTTGTTGCAGCTGACTGCGTTGTGAGCACCCGAGGGCTAGGTGCTCAGCCCACATGACACAAGTGTTGAAAAAACGGTTGACCCGGAAGGGAAAGCTCATAATTCGAGGTATGAAAACACACTTCAGAGAGGAAATGAAGCCTTCAGGTAGCTGCTATAGAAGCTAAATAAAGCACATTTCACACAAGATTTAACTCTTGTTTCCCCTTTGAGCATTTAGCATTGTGTTCTTTTCTGTGTCCAAGTTCAGAGGTGTCAAATTGTGCAATATGCAGATGATACAAACTCTATTGTTGTTGGGACTATTGATAATTGAAATTAAATCAATTACTCTACCAGATGATAGATAATAAATAATGTTCGGGCCACATTGTGATTATGTCAGATCATGGCTTGCATTGTTCATTTATACAAACCTATATTACTTGGTATATTAAAGGTCCCGTGTCATGGCCATTTCTACTGATCATATTTCCATGGTTGAGGTCTACTAAAATAGATTTATATTGTGCAATTTTCCAAACTCACATTGGTTTCTCATACAGCATCTCTGTATAGTATGTGTATTCACTCTGTCCTACACGGCTTGTACACTGAGCCCAGTGGCCTGCGGTCTGCGCGACAGCGAGACACAGCGAACCCAGCCCGAACACACACACACACCCGCAGCCTGGCTGGGAGTTTGTGTGTGTGCTCACACACAGACTCACAGCCTCGCCGCGTCCCGCCGTCTCAGGGAGGAGAAATCGGCGGAGCTGCAGCTGAGAAAAGATTGAGTGTGTGTGTGTGGAAGTCTGTGGATTGGTAAATTTGGACCAATCCACAGACTTAACGTAAAGGCTCTGCGGACGTAACGTAACGGCTCCACGGATTGGTCCATTTGGGTATGGGCACGTCACTGTACCCAGGAAGAAAAAGAGAATTCTCCAACGAGGCGTTCTGGGGCAGCATAGACAGGTCTTTTCTGTGTTTCTGTGTTTTCTGAGCTGGGCGTGTCTGAAGCTTGGGGATTTTATTCGAGCAACGCGACCAACAACCAATCACATGAATCTCCCGCCCCCGACATTCAAAGCAAAAAACCCCGGGGATTTTATGCGAGCAATATATATATATATATATATAAACTCCCCAAACAGGCGAAAACCTACCAGTTTCACCCACTGTCTCTGCCACCTCCCTCCATGACTGGTTCTTCCGGTTTGTATCCCGGTAGGTGAAGAGGGTCTGGTCATACAAAACTGGGTGATTTGCTACGGCGATAAATAGTTTCTCCTCCATCTTTTTTTAAAATATAGAAATCAACGGCGGGATATCTCTCCCAGCTTAGACGCGGTTTGATTGGCTAGCGCTTGAGCTGTCAGATTTTCAGAAACGGGATTTGATTGGCTGGCGCTGGCTACTCCGGCGTCTCCGGCGGAGACGGACCGCTATGCTACCCACAATTCAGTTCGGCGAAAAGCGAGGCAACGTGACGTCACCCCATTCAAAGTGAATGGGCAGACGCGTTGGAAACTGTTTTTGAAGCTGTCGACGCTGTAGTGTGGACGCAGCGTTAGAGTTTTACTCGCTACAGGGTGTACTTTGAGGGTTTGTGACTCTGCAGACCGTTTACATGCAGAAAAACCTTCATAACACACAAGGGGATGGGTAATAACTGGAAAAGCATGACATGGCTTTAAGAAAAGCCATGTTTAAATGCTAACTTCTGTATATTAGGAAGTTTGTATTTTAAAGCTTGCTGTCAGAAATATGTCCGTTTATCTCCAATATGCAGATCTTCATATACAGAAGTTTAAATGTAACTGTATTCAACAACATATAGAAAAAAGGCACTCCTAGTTCTCTCCTCACCTCTCCCACCATGCCGTTCCACGTGCCGTTGATCTTCTTTCCGTGCTTGCCGTTGGTCACCAAGTAAAGGTCGTAGGTGAACTTCACCTGCTTGGCGATCTTCTTCAGGATGTCGATGCAGAATCCCTTACAGCAGCGCTTTATGTAGATCCCAGAGTCCTTCGTTTCATTGCTGCATAGACAAAAAAGATTCAAGATCCAAAGGTTTTATTGTCATGTGCACAAAGCTACAGTGTAGAAATGGAAATGTAATTCTTCTGACCGGAGCTCCTCCAACAATGCAACATATACAAAAATAGAAAATAAAAAGTAGTGCAAAAGTCTATACATGTCAATAGAATATGATATGTACAAGAACAGAGTATGAAATGTTTTGTTTTTTAAATTAAGACAAAATGAAATGCAATGATTACTATAGTATTTATATCAGGGATGGGCAAATGGCGGCCCGGGGGCCTTGTAGTACTGATACCGTCCACTAGACTCCTAGTTACGTCGCGAGCTGTGTACATGATTTCGTTCGGCAGCCAAATACCGCGAAATAATCTGTGACGCGTTTGTGTGTATTGTGTTTGTTCACTCACAAGAAACACGGGCTGTTGTATATGGTGGAAATTACTTTAGCAACACATTCATCGCAAGAAGTGTAGCAAAAGTCAAGGCCGCAGATTCGTCGATGTATACTGCCACAGAGCAGATTCGTCAAGTTGTAATGACTGATTTGAGAGGTTGTAATAACCAAGTTGCAGTTGTAATGGAAAATATATTTTAAAAACATGTATTTTTCTGCAAGAGAACATTTCATCACTAAGTTCATTTTTTTTCTACAAGCTACAAAACTTTTTTTTTTTCTTCTGTGACTTTAAATTTGGTTCACAGATACGTGGATATTTTATACAAGTGTAAATGTATGCACACAAGCTCAGATATTTTTTCTGCAAGTGCTCACATCAGGTTTTACAAGCTCTCGCATTTTGCACCATATCTACCTTCATAAAAGTTGCCCATCCCTGATTTATATGAAGTATAATTTATTTCTAAAGTAGTAGTAAAGTAGTTGTTTAATATTTTAAAGGATTATTGTTATTGTTATCTCGTTTTGATTTTGTATCGTGAGTAAAAATGTGTTGGACAGACTAAGAAACATCTAAAACTACACAAAAAATTCCCGGAATATTCTTTTTTTAATTTGTATTTCCCTCTTTGTATGATTATTATTTACATTAAATATAATTATTTTTCATTGTATTAGTTTATTTTTTATTAAGGATAATAGTTATCATTATTATTACTATTTTATTATTTATTCATATATATTTTACTTGAATGTTTTCCGATGCTTTCAGATATAAGGCATATAATAAAGCATGTTTCTGTGTCTTGAATTCTTTAGACTGCATGTAAAAAATGACTTTGAATCGGAAACAAAGCGCATGTATAGACAAACTGAGTCAATGACTAAAAAGTAATAAAACAACCTGAATACTGAATGAAATATGTGCTCCTGAATTGGCATGAAGTGTTAATTGTAGTCGTGATTTGGAGTCTCTGGCAGCGTCACTCTCACACCGATGAAGTGTGAACTGATTCTACCTCTGGCTCTGTGGAGCTGTCGTGGGAAATCATCATCATTCACAGCAAACATTCAGGCAGTTTCATCTCTTCTGTCAAGTCATTTAGATTTTCTTCATATCTATATAAATGCATTCATATGTTCGACTTCATGCTTGTTTTGATCATAGACTGTATATATAAAACTGTATATGTTTTTATATATGATACTAGAATGTCCTTTTCTGGTAGGGTTTTCTCCGTTTCATCTCTTCTGTCAAGTATTTTTGAAATCATTGCTATCTATTCATTTGTGAGTAGATTCATATGCTAGACGTTATGCTTATTCTGATATTAGAATGCCTTTTTCTGGTAGGAATCATTCAAGTAGGTCTTAGGTCATTGCTGGGTCACACCAGTCAGATAACAACAGCTGTGTTTGAGTGTGAACATATTTTGTTTACAGACAGATTTATCCTGAGTCAGATAAATAAGCACAGGCTGGAAGAGTTTGGCAGATTTGACTATAGCTGCCTCTCACTTTGGTTGAATGGATTCCTTGCGTCCTTCACTTGCGTTGTTTCCCTGCGACTAGTCCCTCCCACCAGGGAAGCATGGAGAGACGCAAGGAAACCACGAGAAGCAGGGAAATGAGTTTTAAGAGCAATGGGACGTCCTTTCCTCCGGAGCGTCACGTGAAGCGACGTCCGTTTGTGATGTCGCCGCACAGCTGATCGTCTGACAGCAGCCAGATCAGTGCATGCACTGCATCGTCCAATCAGTGAGCGATACGCAGTAAGGGGGCGGGGCGAGTGTCTGAGGATTTCACCGGAGGATGGTCTGGTAGTTCCTCGATTATCGCTCCGTCATTATCGATCCTCGGTCCTCCGGCAAAAATAAGGCCACTGGGACGCTACTCAAGATGGCGCAGACAAATCAACTTCCGGTGATACCGAGCCCGAGGAGCGAGGAAATAAAAAGTAAGAGAATTTCTCAATTTGGAAACCTTAACGCATTAAAACAAGTTATTTTTTTGTGCCTTAGAGAAGTGTTTGAAAATTGTCAGGTTTTACGCCAGATCATTAATTAATGTTATAATAAAATAAAAAACCCTCTGATTTCTCCTGAGAGTTTGTCATGCATTTCTTCATTACAACACATCACATATATTTGTTTTATCGCGCCCCAAAACACAAGCAAATACTAGTGTTTTCAACTTGTGATTAACACGATTACATCTATTGACAGCACTAGTTGTAAGACATCAGTCCCAGTGTTCATTTTGTTTTCAGTTGATGCTCCTATAAAATAATGTACTTCACATCCACTTGACTTCTACAGTTGTCGATCTGTGGGTATATGCTGAGGTCCCTTTTCAGAAACGTATTTTAATTCTTGACAATCCTATTCTAGTTTTTCTTTCTAAAACTTGGTGTATCTGAGATTTAACGTTCCCTGTTAGAGCCAGTATTTTGTTTTTATAAGAAAGGCCACCTAATTGTGACGTCTGTAGTCAACACACTATGAAAGACTACAATTCCCACGGCGCCTGCTCTAAAGTGACAGTGATGGGCAAACTGTACGAAAGAGAAATGACTACTTCCATTGTTGCAAGGACAATAAATACATGTATCCTGATATTGAAGCTCAAGCTGGTGACGAGCGATATCTTTCTAACGGAAGCCAAGACACTCACAGTGTTTTTAACTGTTTCCGGCAGGGCACGGTGTTCCTCATGCAGGTCCCGCTGAGCGGATCCACGTCTTCCACGATGACGAAGGGAGCTTCCTCCAGAGTCACGATGGACAGGTGGTCGTCCTCCCTGGTTGCTGCCCCGCCATACAGTTCATAACGAGGCCACACGTGGTACTTCATGGACAGGGAACCGTTCTCCCATTTACCCACCTGCAGAGAAACAAAACAAACATTCAGATTTCCTTAAAGGTCCCATATTATTCTGTTTTTCATCAATATGTTATAGGGGGGGGGGGGTTACCTTGGTTGCTGATCAGATTTTGGCCACTTTATGATGTCATAACGATGTTTTGGCTTGTGTAATGGCTACACAAGCCAAAACATCGTTATGACATCATAAAGTGGCCAAAATCTGATCAGCTCATTTTCAGACAGGTTTTTATAGAAATGGATCAGGACAAAAAGAGAGAGAATCTTTGTTCCTGAAACTTTCAGTCTCTTTCCACAGAGGGGACACATGTTGATGTAGAAGAGACATGAAGAAGAGGGGACACATGTTGATGTAGAAGAGACATGAAGAAGAGGGGACACATGTTGACGTAGAAGAGACATGAAGAAGAGGGGACACATGCTGATGTAGAAGAGACATGAGGAAGAGGGGACACATGTTGATGTAGAAGAGACATGAAGAAGAGGGGACACATGTTGATGTAGAAGAGACATGAAGAAGATGAGGACACATGTTGATGTAGAAGAGACATGAAGAAGAGGGGACACATGTTGATGTAGAAGAGACATGAAGAAGAGAGGACACATGTTGATGTAGAAGAGACATGAAGAAGAGGGGACACATGTTGATGTTAGAAGAGACATGAAGAAGAGAGGACACATGTTGATGTAGAAGAGACATGAAGAAGAGAGGACACATGTTGATGTAGAAGAGACATGAAGAAGAGGGGACACATGTGATGTAGAAGAGACATGAAGAAGAGGGGACACATGTTGATGTAGAAGAAACATGAAGAAGAGAGGACACATGTTGATGTAGAAGAGACATGGAGAAGAGGGGACACATGTTGATGTAGAAGAGACATGAAGAAGAGGGGACACATGTTGATGTAGAAGAGACATGAAGAAGAGAGGACACATGTTGATGTAGAAGAGACATGAAGAAGAGGGGACACATGTTGATGTAGAAGAGACATGAAGAAGAGAGGACACATGTTGATGTAGAAGAGACATGGAGAAGAGGGGACACATGTTGATGTAGAAGAGACATGGAGAAGAGAGGACACATGTTGATGTAGAAGAGACATGAAGAAGAGGGGACACATGTTGATGTAGAAGAGACATGAAGAAGAGAGGACACATGTTGATGTAGAAGAGACATGAAGAAGAGGGGACACATGTTGATGTAGAAGAGACATGAAGAAGAGGGGACACATGTTGATGTAGAAGAGACATGGAGAAGAGGGGACACATGTTGATGTATAAGAGCCATGGAGAAGAGAGGACACATGCTGATGTAGAAGAGACATGAAGAAGTGGATTTTGCATGATAGGCGACCTTTAAAACACAGATTAGGATTTCTTTAAACGCTGTATTCTGGACGTTTCACTAAGGTTAGGGTTAACTGCAATCATGGAGACTCAATGCTAACAACTAAATACACAAAATGAATCACTGGGCAGGAATCTAATTAAAACATGAATGCAGATTAAATTCCATGCTGCAATGAGTCCAGTCCATCAAAAGCGCTGCTCTTGTAAACAATTGGCAAAAAGCAATGTGGACTTTGACTTGTTACGCAAAAAACATCTGCTTTCTGGATTTAGATGTGATTAGTCCATCTGTCAGTAGAACGACAACGAGGCAACAAATGAACGGGAGAATTTCATGATATGAGGATAAACATGATGGAAGAAAGTGATGGGAATAAGTAAGAGGAAAAAGAAAGACGAGAGGAGAGGCCTGGGACCCAGAGTATAAAACGAGAACAAGGTTAACGGGAAGGACGAGAGTGAAATGGGGGAAAGAGCAGAATTCAGATCAAGAGGAGAGGGTGCCGAGGGAATTAGATGGAGCGATTAGACTAAGAAAATGAGAGGCTACATTTTGCCTGAGAGAAAGAGTCAAGTGAGTGTCTGTGTGACGGAGAAAGAGAGACAGAAATGGAGCCCTTTCAGCTGTTGGTCTGGAGAGCCCTCAGCGATTGTGGCTCCACTCGACAAGACGAGCATCATAAATGACTACATTTCCCTCAGATGGTGCTAACGTGAAACCAGACTTTTGTCCTGACACACAGGTTGAAAATCACGGTGTGTCTACATTTGGATATATCTCTTTGACTGCCATAACTAGCACTTTGAACACATACACAGTGTGAATTTTGACCATTTTGTGTTTTTCAAAATTGCATAAAGCTGCTGTGCTCTTAAGGCCCGATTTCGGCCGTCGATAGATGTCTGGCCGTCGATGAGCGTCGTGTCGCCCTACTTAGATTGGTGTGTCCGGATCGGCCAAAGGCTGTCGGTCAAATAAATCACTCTGATTGGCTGTTCAGCTAGCGAATCAGTGCATGAGAAGCGAAACGGAAGTGAGGGACCCAAACAAACGATTAAGAAGGCAAACAAAGACAGCTATTGTTTTTCATTTTCATCTCAGCTGGACACAAGAGTTTATTTTTCATCAAAGCGATCTGGAATGAAGAAACCGAAGACCAACGCACACGCTATTTGTTGTTTGTTTATCTGTTCTTCTTCTCTCGGTGTATCACGCAGTCTGTCTTCCGGTTGTTGCCTCTTTTGAATGACGAATACACACTACCGCCGCCTGCTGGTAAGGAGAGTTATTGCCACTCACGCATGCGCAGTTCGTACGTGCTACTTGGCCGTCGGCTGAAGTCTTTGCGGTGTGTTCCAGTGCGACACATGGCCAAGACGCAGAGACGCGAGGCGACGCAACAGTCGTGTTTCGTCGGGACGTGTCCTTTGGTGTCAGTTTGTCTGGGCCTTTAGTGGAAGTGATGATGGCCAGTGTTAGCTAGTTAGCTAGCTAGCAACAATCATTCACGGTACCAAATCATAAAAGACTATTAAATTAACCAAAACAAATAACGATGGATTCTTTGTGACACTAGTATAGTGATACATTTCTTAAATAATGAAAAAAAACATGTGTTTGTTTATAAGTACAGTGCTGTGTTTACCGGAGTAATCGTATTCATCGCCTAACTTCGGCTATGTAGGAAAGATGGCGGTCGTTTAGTGTGTCTACCACACTCAACTTTTGACTGTTAAAAGGTTGAAACTCTTGCACTGTCTCAATTTGGATACTTCCCTAAATACACTGCCATGTCATACCATGTTAATTTTTGCGCAATGTGTGAATTTTGAGAGTATAGCGTTCTCTTAAATCGAACACAACTGCTATGCCATCACAGGAAATGATAATGGCTGCTCTTAGCTAACTAGATAGCGAGCAACAAGTGTTAGCAGACTGCTCAATTAACCCATTGGCCGTCGGCTGAAGTCTTTGCGGTGTGTTCCAGTGCGACACATGGCCAAGACGCAGGAGACTTGAGGCGACACAACAGTCGTGTTCCATCGGGACGTGTCCTTTGGTGTCAGTTTGGTGTCAGTTTGGTGGCCTCTTTTCAACATGGTATGGTATGTGGTATGTTAGTTAAGCAGGGAAACAACCCACATGTATAACTTTTATTTGTACAATGCTGCCATTTCCACTATGTACCAACCACAGGTTGCGCTAGACTTTTTCGCTGCCCGTCATTTTGACGGGCATCCATAACTTTTTACCCCCTTTTCAGTCCGTGCTAGAGAGCAGGGACTTTCGTGGGAGAAAAAGGTTCCTATGTCTAATTGGCTAGGCGGAATGCAAACCACGCCCCGTAAAACTCCCAAAAACTTTTGTGAAGCCGCCATTTTATTATCCTCGCATTGCATTATTAGCATTAGCATTAGCCCAGCGCAGAAACACAGAGAGACTAACTTATGACAACACAAAATAAAACATGGGAGCGGTGGAGATGAGGAGGTGTCGTCGTTCTGGCCGTTTACTCGGGAAGGCTTCAGTAGAAGCTGCTGGGAGTCCCAGCAGCTTCTACTGAAGCCAGTCCCTAACTCCGGGGACTTCCAGCCGGGGATTTTGGGCGGCAGTATACGCCATGAAGTGGTTTTCGGCCTGCCAGTAAACCCAAAGCAGAAGAAGAAGAAGTGACGTCAGCGGCTTCATTTGCCTAATTCTCCCTCAGGAACTAATTTCCGGTGTGAACGCGGTCTGTACTTAGTTCATGAGAACTAAAGAGTTCTCAGGAACCTTTGTGGGAAAAGTACTTGGTGTGAACGCGCCTATAGTGTCATTTTGCTATATTTCGCAGTGGGATGCACTTTTGTAATGCAGAGGTACGCGATTTGAGACACAGCATACGCCTCTTACGAGCGCTTTCCTCTAGAAATGCCCACTTTAACTTGTAGGAAGATGTGGGTGGACATGGATCTTCAGCTAATTGGACAGTGTGTAACGGGAGAGAGGCGCCAGAGTGTAAAGTTTGCACACTCGTTAAGTATGTAAATGAGCACACACACATATATTACACTCCAGGGAACACAAACTGGCCAAGGCTGCCTGGGTTGGACAAGCTGAGGATTTGTATCTCCGAGGCACAATGCAGCCTCGTTGTATCTGGAGGGGTTAAAAAAAGCGTGAGTAAGGGAAAGACGGATGGAAAAAAAGGGGTTAAAATCTGCCCGGAGGAGAGCAAACTGGACTGGACACTCCAGAGTCTTCACACTACTTCAAAGGTGCAGAAGGAGCATGGTTGTAGGAGCTGGAACTCATTAGGATCCAAGAAAAGTGGTTCAGCTGGAAGTCAAGCTAAGAATTAAACATGAGGGAGGGAGGAAAGGGGGAGAGAAGGGGAGGTGCAGACTGCAAGGGGAGAAAGATAGAAAGGGAGAGAGGAGAGGAGCGATTCACCTTGTTCTCTGATCAGAGGACAGAATATAGATTAGAGAGAAACTCAGGGAATAAAGAATAGGGCGAGTCAAAGGGGTCAGACTGCAGACACAATGGAGGAGAAGGAGGATGGTGACTTTGCAGGAGGAGCAAGTTCCTTTAAAGGTGGGGTAGGTAAGTTTGAGAAACCAGCTCGAGTGCGCTAGAATTTGAAAATACACAGCCGGAACAAACCTGCCACTTCCTTACAGAGCCCCTCCTCCAACACACACGAACGCGCACATGACCAATGAGGGCACGAGATCAGTTTGGATTTTTTGTCAAAGCACTTAAGATATTCATTGCTATCGGGATGTTAAGAGAATTCCATGGAATATAACAAAAAGTGCCGGTTTCTCAAACTTACCTACCCCACCTTTAAGCTTGTTGGTTTCTAAATGTATGCATCACCAACATCTGCTTTCCACCTGTACTAAGAGAATCTATTCCATTTCTCTACCTGTACTTTAAGAGCTTTCTTCAAACTTCATTTATTAGGAGGAAAGCTGACTGTGCATTTATAAAGTTTGTTTTTTATTCCTAAGTCTCACGTATGGTGTGAAAAAGGTGCTGCTTTCACAATAACTATGGTTATATTTCACTGTTCGTTTAACGATTTGAAGTTTGAATTGTCATTATACGTTGTCTGAGTTTTTATTTTCTTACAATACAAGTGTTTTCTGGTCATGAAAGTCAATTTGAACATGTTGGTCGCCCTATAACTATGTCTTGACCAGCGTTGGTTGTCACACCGTCTCATGTTATTTCTGGTTCCAAAAAAAACAAAATGACAACAGACAAAATCAAAGATGGCGACTGCACAAAAAACTAGGTGACAATGGTCAAAAACCAATATAAAAATGGGCAAAAACAAAAGTAGAGAAGGTGGAAAAATAACAATGGCCAAAAGACAAGATGAACACTGTTAGGGATTAATTTTGTCTTTACTCCTTAGACATTTAACCTTATTGTGTGTGTTGACATGTACGACCATCCCTGCTTCTAATCTCCCGTAAGGAATGTGTTGATGCAGTCGTATGTTGATACTAGGTTTTACAGCTTGACCTACAGGGCATCGGGAGGTTTTGCGAGTGTGAGAACGCTAGTTTCTAAGCTCCAGAGATGGGAGAGACATCTCCTGTGTCTGCAGATGTGTTTACGCCATGGTTTACGCCCATCTCCAATATGTGGATTTGACTCTGTAAACTAGTTAAAAGGTCTACCAAGATGCGAGGCTGATCAGATTTGACATGGCAAACCACCCGTGCAGTCAGAACCTTTGACTGTGTGACTTGTGATGTGAATTTCTCCGGCCGATGCTTGTATTAAATATCAGTGTTTGACATCAGAACTCCTGCTCGTCCCGTGTCTCCGTCATGAGTCGGTGACTCAACATCGGTGAAGATGTACCTAAAACTCTGAATACCTAACTCAAGGCTTCAAAACCAAGGTTCATAAACCCATGGGTGACACCACGTCTACTTCTTTGTATACAGTCTATAATAAAAAAATGTCATGTGGAAATACTTTGTGTGCAGCAGAGGCAAACTGAAGGATGCATATGTAAAAATACTCATTAAATGATAAGTGGTATGTTATAGCTTCCTCAAAGTTTTAAAAAATGAACACACAAGCATTTTTACTACCCCAGCGCTCTGGAGCCTGAGCTGCAGAGTGTTGCTCAAAGGCACCTTCACCCAGTAGATATCATCTAATCAGAGAAGTGCCTGTAAAGCTTTCGGCTTAAAATGCTTAAAAAGTGAAAATGGGATGATAAGAGATTCAGATAGACGGACAGATACTCGAGCACCAACCAGGAACTGTACTTACAGGATACAGCTGAATATGAGTACACACTTATTCACACACACACACACACTGCTCACCCTCTCCCACTGCCTCTCCTTGTTGAGCAGAATGATGACTAGCTTGGGGTGCATCTGGTATCCGTCCTCGCTGAACGACAGATTACGCCCCTCGAACGTCACATTCATCAGGTACCTGCAGAGGGAAACATCCAGGAAAAAGACACTCATTCAGACATGTATCACTTCCTGGAAAAACATCTGTCAGTAACCACTTACACGCAATATTTTATTACTTTAAGATTCAACGTTTTTATGTTCATATGCACAGTGTCGTTATGGCCATGAAAATCCCGAGGCTCCTTATGTGTAATGCTGATGAAAACATCCATATCATGACTCTATTTCCCAAACATTAGAGTTTAATGGTACGAGAAATCCTCTGATAAGCCACTATCTTCCCAGACAAACCTGCTGACATTACATAAATGCATCATCTGCCAGGAAACAGCTTTCGGCCAATGTCTGCGTCGGCTTTTCATAAATACATGAATATACATTAGTCATCAGCTGCTCTTCAGCTAAACAGCAGTGGTGGTTTTAAGATCATAAGGAGAATTCATTTCAGAAAATTGTCGTATGTGCAATGTTTGTAATGCTGCTGCAAAGCAAACATTTCCCAATATGGGATCAATAAAGTACTTATTATCTTATCTTATATTTCCAAACATCCACGGTTCAATGTGTCCAACCTTAAAGGAATGGTACGTCGTTTTGGGAAATATTTTTGCTTGCTTTTTGGCGGAGAGTTAGATGGATTTAACTCTCAGATCTGTTCATTAGATATGAAGCTAAAGCTAGCAGCTGTTAGCTTAGCACAAAGCCTTGAAACACAAGAAACAGATAGCTTGGCTTCAACTGTAGGAAAACCCACCACTACATCTCCCAAACTTAAACAGTCTACCCTTTTTGTTTTATTTGTATAAGTGTAAAAACTATTGGCTCACTTTTTACTGGGACTTGCGGTGAAATATTTGTTTGTCGTTAGCAGTTAGCAACTAGCTTAGATATGAAGAAGAAACACTGACTGGTTTCTACAGTTTTTTTTGTTTTGTTTTCTTTGTTGTTGAGACAATACAAAATATATATAGTAAAGTGAGCATTATACGTTCTTATTGGGATCTTTCTTTTACAGTTAAACAGAGCTAGGATAGCCATCGTTCCACTATATACATGTACATACCATTTGTATGAGAGAAGGATTTGCTTATCTTTGTTATAGTATTTGTTTTCTTGCCCTCAAAGATCTACATTTGGAGCGTAAAGAAAATATCATAAAATATAAATTCACAAATTTGAGTCCCATTGACAAATCCCAAAGCGAGTTCTAGAGAGGGCGTTAAAATAATAACATGGCAGCTTCTCAGATCACTGTGTGTGTGTGCGTGTGTGTGTGTGTGTGTGTGGTGTGTGTGTGTGTGTGTGTGTGTGTGTGTGTGCAGGGCCGCCCCTGGCCAACTTGGGGCCCCAAGCGACATTGTGAGATGAGGCCCCCCAACCGACAGGAGTGAAAAAAAAAGTTTTTGGAAACAAAGTAGGCTACTTTGCAAATATAATTCCTGTTTATTATTATTATCAACACTTTTTTATACAGTGAGTTAATGGTAAATGTGCATGTATGTCGTTCAGTATGCGTTTACAGGTGAATACGTCTGCATTTCCTGCCAAATACTAGCCTCAAAAAGATTACAATATAATTAATGCAAATAAACTACTTCTACTAATAATAATAATAATATTCAATTCAATAATATAAATACTATATTATTTTATCATAATATAGTTGTAATATAGTCAAGACAAAACATGCTTATGACATGCTCAAAAACTGATATTTCTTAAATCTGTATTCTAGTTCCCTCTGTCAGCAATGTATCAACAACTACACACACATTTCTATCAGTATTTCTCTGTGTTGTGGTTGACATGATGATGACTGTTAGGAGTTAAGGGGAGAGGCTGAGCATCACCATGAAATGTGCAAATTGACATAAAAATGAATATAAGGGGGAAAAATGTTCCATGTTTTTTAGGCTGTAAACTTTAACTGTTATGTAAGCCAACTAGACAGACAGTGTATCACTCTTCCTCCTGTAGTTAGCAGATCAAAGGCATAACATACGTGAATGAATGTTAAATAAAGAATGCTGGAAATAACTGCATCTCCATTAGCCTATATGCTATGCAGAGACTGCCTTCTTCATGTCGTGAATTGCAGCTGATGTTTTAATATGGCAATTGGCAATTTGACTTATACAACATTCGCAAGTTGTACATTTGACTCATACAATAACCCACCTTCGAGTGATGCTCTATAGTTTCTTCATGTTTTGTTTTTTTTCCCTCTAGCTTGCTCCGGACTGAAACTGTCTTTTCACAGACATCTCTTCACCTGCACTAGTGGCCGTATCAAAGCCGTGATTGGTCAGATGTCGATTCATTGCAACGGTGTCGCGTTACAGACGTGCTCCCCTTGTCACCTCTCACTCTCGCGTGTCAGCCAGGGGTGCGCGGAGAACTGAGCGGAGAACTGCGCACAGCAGCTGAGGCCCTCTAGGCGGGGCCCCCTGCGCAAGGCGGGGCCCCATGCAGCCTGCGTGATTGGCCTGTAGGGAGGGGCGGCCCTGTGTGTGTGTGTGTGTGTGTATGTGTGTGTATAATTGATGAATATGGTTTGACAACAATAACACACAATTATGCTTGTTTTTATTTATTTGTTTAATTCTATCATTTCTGGCTTTTTTGCCGTTCATCAGGAACTGAATTTCAAAATAAAAGTCACCGGAAACAGACGTTCGAATACAGTTTGGGATAGTATGCCGTGGGTTTCGCTCCATTTCAAAGAGCTGTTTGGCGCTCGGCGTAACCTTGGCGCACTGCCACTCCAACATCCAATCCCATTAATCACGGGGCAAAGTCCCAAACAATAGCTGAGGATTATGGGTAGTGTAGTGTCTTCGGCCATCCTAAACTCGGAAATGTTTTTTGGATTTTATATCGCATAAACACCTTATCCCAACTTGCATTGCGGCTAAAACATCCAATCAGCGAGCTTAACCCATAGCTGAGGATCTTGGGTAATCAGTTCAGTGGCTGTGTATCGCAATGATGCTCGAAATGTCTCTTATAGGCCTAATTCTGTTTCCGGTTATTTTATTTTGAAATTCAGTTCCTGCGGAACGGCAAAAAAGCCCAGGATTATAGAATTAAAAAAAAACAAAAAAACAAGGACAATTGTGTGTTATTGTTGAGTAAATAACAGTGTGTTATTTAGAAAAGAATAACAAATTAGAAAGAAAAAAATATTAAAAAAACTACAGATTTCAGTATTCTGAGGCTCTGAGCCCCATTTCTTTTCCTCGGGGACGGCAAAAGAAGTCCGACATTATACGATTTAAAATAAAAACAATAATCGTGGCTTGATATTGAGTAAGAACATGTTTTTATGAACCACACAGCTTCCGGTCTTCCACGACCCCGACCGGACAAAACAGACGTGTTGCAGGCACGAAACACACTACCAATAGAAATACATTGCTTTGAAATAAACGTTCTGTGTTGACACGAAAAAAAAAGGGGAAAATCGTGTTGGTGAACACGAATCAATAGATTAAACGTCGTGACTATAACACGAAATGCCGTGAGACTGGGTTGGTGTGTGTGTGTCTGCTTCCGTTTGTGTGGAGGAGAAAGAGAAAGAAGCGACAGAGAGAAGCAGCATTGTTCTGTCAGGTAAAATAATTTCACCTTTCTTCAACTAAACACAGCACACAAACACACACGGACACACAAAGACACGGACACACAAAAGACACGGACCGCATGACAGACACACACACACCACTGTATCCTCTTGCAGTGATTATGGTGAATGTACGTGGGAGTGTGTAAGTGTGTGTATATGAGAACAGGAATGTTTAAGTCAGGTGAACTCAAATCACTTCACTGTCATCCCACACACACACACACACACACACACACACACACACACACACACACACACCACACACACACACACACACACACACACACACACACACACCACACACACACACACACACACACACACACACACACACACACACACACACACACACACACACACACACACACACACACACACACACCCACCAACGAACACACAATTTACTCTCTCTCCTCTTCCCTCCCTGACTGTTTCCATGGAAACACTCTGCCTCATCATAACCCTGCACACCATATATATATATATCTATGTATGTAGATGAATATATATAAAAATAATAATAAAAAAAGATGTCTAAAGAACGGGACAGACATAAGATCACATGCATGTCCAGCAGAATCCTTGTGTCTTGATCAGATCCTCTTAAACCATCCTCAGACCATGGTCATGTTAATATATAAATAATGATCAATGCCTCCAATATGGTGAATCATATCACAATAGCAGTGAAAAATAATGGCAATTAGTTGTTCTTGTAGCCCTAATCATTAAGTTGTGCCTTTAACCCAGTCTGCCATTTGTGAATCTAATTTAAATGTAATTGTTTTTTTGGGGGTTTAGTTTATCTAATTAAAATTGAATCTCTTTTTTAATATAGTAGAGACACAATATACAAATAAAGGACTGGAAAGTATGATGAGAGTAAATGTCATACAACAAATAAACAAACATAATCATATAAAAAAGAACATTTCAATTTATTTTTAATAGGAAAGAAATAGGACATCATCTTCTCACACAAGACAGAATAAATAAATATTAAAAATAATAATAGGTCTGCAGTTTGGGTATCTTATGTATCCTGTGTACTCCATCATTTGTTTTCTTTTCTGATTTTATATAAAGCGTCTTTGAGCATTAGGAAAAGCGCTATAAAAATCCAATGTATTATTATTATTATTATAATGTAGTAACTTCAGTATTTACTGTAACCACATTCCTGATTCTACTTCCTGTATTAAATATTGATGTTTCCAACAGGCTGTGTTGAGCGTCCGGCTGACCGTCCCGTAGAGATCTGGCTCTGATTCAAAGTGCACAGAATCTGCTGCATAAATCATGAGCCATTTGCAAAATGACATGAAGCTGCAGCCCCCCCCCCCACCCCCAAACACTCCCCTTTAATCTTTACTAGCACTGAGCTATTGTTA